AATAAGCAACATCATGATAAACAGAGAAAAGACTGAGGTTGTCAAGGATTTCATCTTATTTGAATCCACAATCAACACCCATGGAAGCAGCAGTCAAGAAATCAAAAGATTTGCATTGGGCAAATCTGCTGTAAAAGACCTCTTTAAAGTGTTGAAAAGCAAAGATGTCACCTTGAAGACCAAGGTACGCCTGACCCAAGAGATAGTATTTTCAATCACATCATACGCATGCGAAAACTGGACAATGAATAAGGAAGACAGAAGAAGAACTGACGACTTTGAATCATGGTGTTGGTGAAGAATATTGAATATACCACGGACTGCCAGAAGAATGAACAAATCTGTCTTGGAAGAAGTACAACCAGAATGCTCCTTATAAGCAAGGATGGCAAAACTACATGTTACATACTTTGGACATGTTGTCAGGAGGGATCAGTCCCTGGAGAAGGACATCATGCTTGGTAAAGTGGAGGGTCAGCGAAAAAGAGGAAGACCCTCAACGAGACGAGACGGATTGACACAGTGGCTGCAACAATGGGCTCAAGCATAACAACGATTGTGAGTATGGCGCAGGACCTGGCAGTGTTTCGTTCTGTGGTGCACAGGGTTGCTATGAGTCAGAACCGAGTCGACAGCACCTAACAACAACGACAATTCACCCCTATATGCCTTACTTTTAGTCAATGACAATTTGTGTTTTCCGTGTAAAACTCGATAAGATAAAGACAGCTTTTAAATTATGAAATGTGCCACAAATTTGTTACAAAATATTCAACATCACTATCTGTGGATGCTATATATGTTAATGAGCCACAATATTTAATAAAAATGCAAGTGAGAGTTTGAGTTTCTAGCTCTTCACCTTCCCAGAAAAAAAAAAAATTATACATTTCTTAACAAAAGAGTTCCCAAACCAAAAGTGTTAACAGGAAAAGGAGTATGAAAGATTACACATTTAAATATAATCTTCCTAGTTTGGAGAACTCAGAAATCACTTAATGTAATTTAATTTCCATACCATTGACATATGATCTGCCCTAGATTGGAATCCCTCCTGGATCCATTTATATCCCATATTGAACACACAGACTTTTCCCCCATAGACATCTATGACCACTAGATGGTGCTGTGGTGCCCTGCTCAAATACGTTCTCACTTACTTGCAGTCTCTGTCCTCCAAATCGAAGTGGGGGTTGAAGTTGATCATAATTCTCTGGTATGGTTCCGGGGCCTGAATCAGCCATTCACATTTTTCACTTGGGTGATAAGAATGAGGATAACCAGGAGATGTAAGATACCCAGGGTTTTCAATTTTTATAGTACCACCACATTTATCTGCAATAAAAATAACATTTTAGCAGATCTTTCCCTTACACCCAGTTAAATAGTCTAGCTTCATATATAAATTGCCAGATATTAAACATTCCATAACTTTTTTAAAGGGAACTCCAAGGGGTCTCCACAGGTCCTTAAAGTGACAATGACAGCAACACCCTAGCAAGGGCCAATCTTTGATCTCTGAGCATTTGCACAGGAAGGCTGAGCAACAGAGATCTGAGAGGACTCCTCACCTCCTCCCCACCCCCAGAAGTTCCTTCCCAAGGAAGAGGTCTTCTAGCACCTAACAACAACAAGCATTAAAAACATTAAATCCCCTCAACTGATGTTAACATGGTCCCCAGGGATCTTCTGCTAGACTTAATTATCCTCAAGAAGTGTAATCGCATTAAGTAGCAAGTTCTAAGTGGAAGGTGACTAAAAGATGCTGTTAGACCCCTTGTGTGGCTTTTTGATGATAAGCCTGGTCTATGTCATTGATCAGTGGGGATTGTCTTCCAAGACCTCGATTGGCTTAAAACCAAACTTTTTGTTGTTTTATCTGCCCGTAAATCTAAGTGATTCTGAGTTATCTCTGCTCTTCGGATCCAGGTCAACAGAGAACAAAGTATATTTGATGAAGCAGAAATAATTCGCTTTACTTCTCTAAGTAAAGTTGCTCAGGCTTGGAGACCAGATCAAAGCAATGGGGCAGAAAGAAAAATAAATAGCCATGCAGCATTAATTCTAATTACCTAAATGTTGGGGGAAAAAAATCACCGCAGTGAGGCCTGGATATCACATAAAGTAAGCCACATTCTCCGGAAAAGGTGCGCTAACTAGTTTTGAACCTCATTTCAAAAAACCCAAAGAACCAGTTGCTGAGGCTGCTTTATTGTTCCTCGTAGATTTTCATTGTCACTTTTTATGATGGATTTCGTACTGGAGATCCTTAGCTTGAAATGATGCCACATTTATTGATGCTTAATTTTGAGCAATAAAAATTTAGCGCATAAACTATGTAAGAGGAACAGGTATGAAAGCAGTGAAATATATAAGCCTATCAATCACAGATTTTCAGTAATGGTATATATAGATTTTAATATTGCATCTAATAGATTCCCTGTGGAAAGAGAATGGCATTCTTTGCTCTCAGCATGAATTTATAAATCTACCGAATTTTATTACAGGAAAACCAGGTCAAATGGAAATGAAAGATGAAGTGCACATCAAAAACGCATAAAGCATTACAGAAATCAGTGCCCATAAATTAAAAAGAAGACAATATAAATTATATTGTTTTTTTCCTTAATTGCTAGATGTTTCTCTGTATTTCTTAGACTAGGGGGTAGTTTTATACTGGTTTCCTTTGCCTGAGCTTTTAAAAGCATAAGATTTGCCAAAAGAAATGATGTTGCAACTGGAGTTCAGAATCCCAGCTAATGACCATATTGGACACTGTTCTGTGATTCTATTGAGATTCTTGCATTATTTTAAATGTGCAGAAAACTTGGAAAGTGACCCTGTCTCATTAAGTCTCCTCCAGCTCTGTACAAACATCATGGCAGAGTCTGGCATCTGTTAGAGGAGTGAAATAAAACAGCACTGCTTCTAGTCACTTGACAGAGTCACTTCAGAAGACATTTAGGTGGACCCGGTACCACACCAGAGCTCTTTAATCTGTGACTTCTAAGAAAGTGACAGTGTAATAAGATAATGTGGACTGCTAGACTCCCTGGCTCTGTTAAATCTCTCTAACAGTTCATTAAGAAAGAGCAATTTCTAATGACTCTGGACCATTAGTCCTAAATAAGGTTAATGAATTAATTTAGCAAGCACTGGTACTGGGAGGAGGTGGACATGGCTTTAAGAGGGCTGCTGAGTTACAGAGGCATTAACTGGCTCTGGTCACTCCAGTCATAGTAACGTGGCTGTAACTAGTCAAGCTCACCGACTGAAGCTCAGGTTCTCAGCTGCTAAGAAAAAGAAGTCCTGTACACACAAGCACGCGCACACACACACACACACACCCTAAAGTCTGAGAGCTTTTATATTACGTTTCAAATCCACCCTGTGAACACCTCCCCTACTGATTTAATCTCAGGAGTTGTTGAGGGCAGAGGGTGGGTTACTGTAATTTCTAAAGCCTAACCATTTGTGCTCTTTCAATTGCCAGATTATACAAAGATGCCACCAACTCAGGTTCATTAACAAATTGAACTCTACATTCACAATTGTTCTTGGTGTGTTTTACTTCCAAGCATATCTTTTAGAACAGTACTTGGTAGCTGTTGGGAGAATCTATTGCTTAAATCACAAAACGTTCAGAAAACATATTAGGGAGATTAACTTCCATCATAAAGATGTGATTTAAATTCCTCTTGGTATGAACTCCTCCACTTGTAGTCTCTTATTAAAACAATATACCACAGAAAGTAGTGGTTGTTCTTTTCTTCTAATTACTTTGAAATCTAAGTCAGACAAAAGTAAATATTTGCTAATTGGTTAATAATAATTGCTGAGGATTTACTGTAAAGATAATTTCATACCCTTGCCTTCACCTACTTTTCAGTGGAAGTCAAACATGCCTACAACCAGATCACATAAAACATATTATTTATGTTACATGGTACTGTTTATGCCCCAGCACAGTCTTTCATTTACTTCACAGTGAGTGGTTTGAAAAGCAAAGTGGAAGCTGCGACTGAGTTAGGGATTTCCAGATATCCTGGTGCCTTATGCTGTATATATCAGATTCCTTTATTGACACTATGCAACTTTCATTCAAACTCCAGACGGATTAGGGACGAGTTACAAAACCGGGGACAGGGGTTCCATCAATCAGCAAACCGCTATCTTTTGCAGGCACCCGCCAGAGGAAATAGTTTGGGGGAGTTTCAAGAGAACCAGGAAGTTCTCCTGGTAAAGTGTTCATTAACTTTTAACTGCCATTAGGTTTCTGAAAGGGAGGCTCATCTAATTGCCTTTGGGAGGAAACATTATTAAGATAATTGGTGCGCTGATCTGGGAAGGTCTGCAGCTCTGTCTTGCAATAGAGATAGGAAAACCTCCACAACCAAACAGCCAACTTCCAGGAAGGAGCCAGAGGACCTGAAATCCTCTTGCCAGAAACCGATTGCTTTGATTTCTTTATTTCTCCGCCCGGATAAAAGTTTCCTTGGTCCGGGCAGATGGCTCCTCCCGGATCATCCCAGCAACTCTGCGTGAGTCCAGTCGCTGGGGATAGGAGGCAGAGCCCGGCTGGACGCCCGCAGCCTGGGAGCCCCGGGCGCGGCGCTGTCAGACGCGCCTCCGCCTGTCACTTACCGTTGCGAAAAGCGCTGGCCAGGGCGAGGGCGAGCGCGGCGCAGAGGAGCAGCAGTCCTCTCTCCATTCTACCTTCTTCGGATCTCTAGGCAGAAGCGGGAGAACGAGATCGTGGAGGGAAAATATAGCAAACGGAGTAATCTAAAAAATCCAAAGCGCTCCAACTCTGCTTGGAGCTGTAAAATCCTCCAGCCCGTCTGGGAGAACGGGAAGCAGCTAGGCAATGCCTTGATCCAAGAGAAACGGTTCTCGTTTTGTGTCTCAAGTCGCCTGCATCCTGTCATTTAGCTCCGGTTTCCTCTCCCTTTTCCCACACTTGTTCTTCTTCCAGGAGCCACTGCCCGAGCCATGTCTCAAAAAAAAAAAAGATGGAAAATATTTAAAAAAAAAAAAAAAAAAAAAAATGTGGGGGCTGGAACGGGGAGAAGTGAGGTAGGGAAACACACACCAAAGCCAATTTCCAGAAAAGAAAAAAAAAATATCCGGGTTGTCTCTGGACCCGCTGGAGCCGAGGAGCTGGCGCCCTGGGGAGGTCCGGGGTGTCTGCGGGAAGGAGAGGAGCAAGCAATGAAAAGAGGAGCGGGAGACAGGAGTTTCACTAACTGCACCCCCGCCTCCCCCACCCCCTTCCGTCCTCCCCCTCCCTTTCTTAAGCCCTTCCCTCGCTTCCTCCCTCCCCTCTCCCTGCACAAGCTCGCCAGTAATTGCCTGACAGGAGACCGGGAGGAACTAGTTTTCCTCACTGTGCTTTCCCCGTCCGTTTGTCTTTCTCCGAGGCCTTGCAGGGATCTTCACGAGTAGGAAGGCGCTGTGGGTCTGCGCCGAGGGCGGGCGCGCGTGTGTTTGGGGAGGTGGGCATCGAGATCGCTGCCAAAGAAGGCTCAGGGCTAGCCTACCTCGGCAAGCCTCGCTTCTGCACCCCGGAATGAGACCCAGGAAGCTGCAGGGCAGCAAGGGTCCCGCTGCCGAAAAGTGCGGAGGGCCCGAGAAGTGGCGGCGCCTTCTTGCAACTGCAAATCCCCTTGCTGGCTAGGAGCGCGGCTTCTCCGCGCGGAGCGGCGTCGAGGAGCCGTAGCGCCAGCCCCCTCTCGCTCTCCGCTTGACCAGCCGGAGACCTGTGGCAGGGAGGAGACGGGCGCCCGCTGGGCACTCCGGGTCAGGGCTGGCGGGCCAGAGGTGGAAAGCTCGGCTGGAGTCGGAAACGCACCGCAAAGCCGGGAGAGGGGCGGTAGTGCCAGTGCCACGTACAGCCGTGTCAAACCTCCCAGGAGTGCGAGGCCGGGCTGCAGCCAGACACCGTCTCCTGCCCCGACATCAGGGCGCGCGACTGGTTTCCAGCGCGCCTGGGCGCCGGGGTGCCCGCCTTGCGCCGCAGGGCTCCATTGTTCCCCGAGATTTGGACAAGACTTCTCCTTAGGGGCAGAGGGGACCCCCGCAGAGTGGGAGATGAATCGCCTTCCTGCTAGGGGGCAGCCACCGCCCAACCCCGCCCAGCCCCGCGTCTCCGAGCGCAGGTGCTCAGTGGTTTGGAAATGAGGGGTCCATTGGCCCCGGCTTCTTAGCAACACGGGCAAGGAGAAAGGGCGGAGGAGGGAAGTGGAAAGAGGCACCCTTGGCAGGGCCCTCAGTGCCGGCTCCCGGCAACAGGCAATTGTGCACGCTGGTCCTATAGCTTTCTGCCCACCCCCACCTCCCCACGGAGACCCGTCCTCACTGTCTCTGGATGCTCCCCAGTTCCATTCCCCAAGGGCTCCCAGAGAACTGCCGTTGAAGTGCGTCTGCGGATATGAATAGCAAGGACATTTCAGAGAAACAAACAGGTTGCGGTCATGGATCCAGCCCTTTAGGGGAGTCAGTGCACGCAGACTCCCTCGAAAGGAGCTCGTGGGCAAGGTGAAAAGGTCACTCTACCTTCTGGGAATTGGCGTTTATTTACAAATCTCCAAATCAGAGCTTATTCCTACCTGGCGTAAAGAGCTGGCAAGGGAGATTTAGGAATGTTGGCGAGGAGACTCTGCTCAAAGGTTTTGGAGGAAGAACTAGGGACTGGCGGAAGAACTAGGGACTGCCCCAAGCGCGCCCGCCCGAGGCAAGAATTTCACACCCGCGGGTTGGGGCTAGGCGCGGTGAGGCGCGCTCCGCAGAGTGCAGGCGGGAACCGTGCCCGCGCTGAGGCGCAGTCCGCGGAACCCGCACTCACTGGTCCCACCAGATCCTCCTTTCCACTTTCTCGCTTCAAGCCCTTCTTTTCAAGCCTTTCTTCTCACCCCACCCGCGTCCGCTGAGCTCCGGCCGCTATCTTGAGACGGAGCCACCTCCGCTCCGCAAGCCAGCCCTGTCTCCAGAGCGCCGCCTCTGTCCAGTTTGCTCCTTTGCGGGTCGCCGGCCCCTGGGAGATACTGCCAGCGAGGCGCGGGGTGGGAAGGTGACACTGGCCCGGGAGTCAAATGCCTAGGTCGAACGATAAGGGCCGCGGCAGGGCCGGTGGGCAGCTGTGCGCCTCTAGCTGGGCGGCGGAGGGAAGGAGGAAGCGGGGGAAAGCCGCGCCTAGCGCAGAGCCCCGGGGAGCCCGCGCTCTGGCGGAGGAAACCTGGGCGCTTGGCTAAGACTTCTGCTCGTCGCCGCCTTCCCGCCTTCCTCTCTGCTCTGGACGCAGCCAGTTTTAGTCTCCAGCAACGCGGGGTCAGCGGCATCATCAGATTTGGGATGACCCCGAGCTACCTCAGTCCGGGGCTCGGAGGGAGAGGTGGCTGTCGGTACCTGGTATGTTGACACAGAAAGGGAACCAGGAGGGTGCAGCGTCCGGGGCGTCCTAGAGTGACAGATAGTCGCCTTCTTCCTACTGGGACTCTGCCGCACTCGCTCCAGGGAGCCGGTTCTGACCCGTCTGAGCCTCGACGGGGTGAGCGAGGGGGCACTCACGGGAGACTTGAGCTGTGTTGTTTTTAGAAAACTGCCTCCAATCTCTCTTCCCCTTTCCCTGCTGAGTGTGCATTTCCCAGCCTAGACTCGCAAGGGTAACAAATAAAGCTACCGGATCGTGCACTCAGGGAGGGACTGTTCCCCACCCGGACCTCGCCGCCTCTGGGCTCTGGCGGCAGTCGTTCCTCCGGCTCCCACGCGCCTTCCCGGGGAAGGGTTGTGGGGGGGTGGGGGGAGAGAAGGTTTCATCCAGCGCACCAACGCTCAGAGGAAACCTGTCTCCTTTCTTGTTCACTAGCTGAGCACTTTTGCCAGCTTTTCTCCAATCACCTAATAAGGCATGCAATATACACTCGAGAGGAAATACCATACTTCAGTTCTGCCACTGATTCTCCTGGTCTTAGCTGATTTGAGGCTTTTCTAGACTCCTTAGTTTCCAAGTACAGTACCGGATAGTAGAACCCTAGCACTGATGGATAATTGCTAGCTAGTGGGCTGGTGCAGAGCAAATTGTCCCTGCTAACAACCTCTTTCCTTTGCTCTTGTATTCCACAAAGTGCTGAAAAGGGTCAATTTTAGATTTCTGCAATTCTCCAGCAAGGGAGACAGACCGACTGACTTTTATATAAGAATAAGTGATAGACGGAGGAGGAATTTGGCAGTGTTCCTAGGTTGATTTTATTTTGGTCTCATGAACACATTACTCTTTCCCAACATCACAATATCCTCAGACTGGATAGGACCCACTTCCATTGAAGGGAAGATGCATCGACCACACTCCCAGAATGCCGTGCTGAGGCCCTGGGTCAACAATTTTCAGCCCCATTGACTTGCACTCGAGGACTTCTCCAGGAATAAAGCGTTGGCTTGGATCTCCCAGAGCAAGGCTGGAATCTTGGTCCATCATTAAGAATAGACTGAGTGGTAAATGCTTCGTTCCTTTCATCAGGCTCTCATCAATTCGTCAGAAATGAGATGAGATCCATTACTCCCAGAAGGGCATTTGAGCCACTAACTTCCTCACAGTATTTCAGGTTGATGAAATATGGAGATTCAGGCTGGTATTTAAAAATAGTATCAGGTCGGTCTTAGTCAAGTTTTTAAAAGCATCAAGCCCACACATCAGAAATGCAATAAAACAATATATTTTTAGTAGGATCTAACCTACATTTGAGACATAAGAATGGAAGAAATACAACCGGAAAAAGATTGAAAATTGGAATTTAAATTTATCTACTATTATTTAAAACAATTCTATTTAAAATGGCATTTATGTCAAATGTCAAATGTCTCCATCATAAAGAGATATGTTTTGGACCTCATTTATAGCTATATCCTTAATTTGTATTGCCAGAGGAAGGAAGGAACAAATGAATGTTTACTTTATGATACTTTATTTCTGGACTTTAAAAGTTATCTTGAAAGCTCTTTAAGTATTAGGGAAAAGACAACAATCTAAAGTTTTAAGATAAAGCTATAATACAAGGTGTTTGTAATATAGTATATGCAATTGAGAGATACGGGAAGAAAATGGTAGATTTTGAATCATATTGGTGGATTCAAGACATTTTGTTGGTGGTAGAGGTTAAGCTAGAATTTGAACACTTGTATTTGTTGTAATGAATAATCTCAGATTATTCTGTCTTAATTAAACTACCTTTTTAATTAGGAAAATTAAAATCATACTAAACAATGAAACACCCACCAGACCAATAAGAACATTAAAGAGAAAATATTCAAAGCTTCAAAAGAACTATTTTAAAAATATAATTTGAGTGACCAAAATAAGAAAGTGGCTCTTTCTTTAAATTCAGTCATAGTTTTGTGAAAATTAATACAGAACTCAAGTTTTAAGAAATTCTAAAAAATATCAGCAGTAATATTTTTAAAAATCAAACGAAGAACAACAATAAACAGCCCCCCCTCCACGCACACACAATTAAGAATTGTGGAATTTATTCCAACTGAATTTAAAAACTAGTGAAGAATTTTAATTTGGATTTTTATTAGTAAATCTGCTGCATGGAGAATGAGTTATGAATGGAGGAAAGGAAGAAAGGAAGAGACCAATTAGGAAGCAACTATAATAGAATATAAGCAAGAGCTTGAACAAGGAGGTGTAATCAAAAAGACTGATGATGAGTTGGATATGCCAGTGAAGAAGAGGGTGTTGTCAAGGATGACACTTTAGTTTCTAGCTTCCGTAACTGGATGGGCAGTGATAGCCTTCAGAGAGGCAAGGAACACTAGAAGAAGACTAGTTTGGAAGGAGATTGTGAGTTTGATTTGGTCTAGATTCAGTTTCAAATCTCTATGAGACAAACCAATGGAATATAGAGGAGGAATCTGGACTGAAGATATAAGTTTGTGAATAACTGGTATGTAGATAATATTAATTGAAGTAGAGGGAATGGGTGAAATT